CCCCCCCCCCCCCCCCCCCCCCCCCCCCCCCGCATAAACGCACGAGCCCGCAGACGCACAACGATCACACAAGCTTACGCACCTGGACACACACACGCACACACACACACACACACACACACAGGCACACAGGCACATCCTTCGCCTCCCTCTTTTTTCCCGTCCCTTTCTCCGCCCGCCCACCAATGGCCAGTCTCTTTTCGCTGGGCCTCGCTCGACCGGCTCTCGCCCGGCTGGGACCCCCGACGGGGCTCAGTGCCACCACGGCCGCCCTCTGCAAGTACCCGCCCCGGGCGGCCTACTCCACCGATTCATCGGACTCGCCCGGGGGCAAGGCCCGCGGGCGGCGCACGCGCCCGGCACCCCCCACCTCGCAGGCGGCCCTCCTCCCCCGGGCCCAGCCGGCGCACGACCGCATGCTCCGGCTGCACGAGCGCCACGGGCGCATCCAGCGCACGGAGCTCGAGCGCCTGGTGACCGAGGCATCGGAGCGCGCCGCGCAGCAGATGGCCGACGCCGCGTCCGAGGCCATCCGCGAGGAGGAGCGCCGGAGCCAGCAGCTCGCGCACGATGCCGTGGCCGCGGCCCTGGCTGAGGCGGAGCTGGAGGCCGCCCGCGCGCGGCTCCGCGCCGCCGCCACCGCCGCCACCCAGCAGCAGCAGCAGCAGCACGGCGCCCCCGTTCCCGAGGGGGGACCAGCGCCGGAGGCCGGGGCCATGGTGGCCCCGCAGCCGGCCACGCGCGCGCGCGTCCCCCTCTGGCTGTCCTCGGCCAAGAACAGCCTCAATGAGCGGACCCACTTCGTGCCGGCCACCTTCGACCCGGCGGCCGGCGACCACCGCCACCACCTCCCGCAGTACAACTCCGACGGGGTGCTCAATCCGCGCGGCCTGCCGGACGGCTATATCCCCACCTTGCAGGAGCTTGTGGACCTGCTGCGCTTCGAGGGCGGCCAGGATGTGGTGGTCCTCGACACGACGTGGCGCGCCAGCAGCCTGCACCATCTGATCGTGGCCACCGGCCAGTCGCCGCGGCACTTGCGGTCGCTCGCCGAGGCCGCGTCCCAGGCGCTGCGCTACAGCCACGGCCGCTACCGGGCCACCCACTCGGTGAGCCTGGATGAGGATGCCGGGCCGGGGGCCGGGCCGCGGCTGGTCCGCGATCCGCCCCCTCCGGCCCCGATCGAGGGCAAGCCGGCCGACGGGTGGATGACCGTCGACACCGGGGCCCTCATGCTGAGCTTCATGTCGCCCTCCTACCGGCAGTACTACGACCTGGAAACCCTCTGGACCGGCATGGATGTTGACGACTGGGTGCCGGAGTTCCGCCAGCGCAGCCTGGAGGACGGCCCGGCGGAGTAGGCGCCCTGGGGAGGGCGGCGACTGCGCGGGGCGCGCGTGCAGACACACGCATACACACGCCTCTGTTTGCTTGTATGTGTGTGTGTGTGTGCGTGTCCTGCGCTGCAGACGTGTACCCCCCTGTTCGAATGCTCTCCGCGCGCCGTGCCCCCGGCGAAGAGGGGCCGCTCCCTGTTTGCTCTTCTTTTTTTTCTTTTTCTTTTTTCCCCCTTTTCCCTCCAGAGAGACCGTGCAGCGCACAATATAGATAATCTGGGCGAAATCCGTGCTGTTGGCTCCCTCATTGGACCTTCCCCTTTTTTTTTCCCTCCCCAGCGGCCCCTCCGCGCGGTTGCCGCGATGGTGTTCGCCCATGCGCGCACACGCGCACATCCCCGCTGCCCTCCGGCCCCCCTCCACAGACCACCCTGCTCATCTGGCCTCGGCCCATCTGTGCGCGCACACACACACACACACACACATGTGTGTGTGTGCTCTCTTTCTCATATTCTAGTGTTGTATTCGGTCGGAGGAGAAGGGAGTGGGCCTGCCACGCACGCGCGCGCGCGCGCGCGCGCGATACTTCGTCTGGGCTGGCGTGTGACACATGCATCACTGCATGACCAAAAGGAGGGAGCAGGGGAGCGGCGAGGAAAGGACCCCAGCAAGAGGGGGATGCAAGGGGCCCGCTGGCTGGCCCGGGCACCTCCCCCGGGCCTTGCTCTCCCTCGTGGCATGCGCACATGCACACACAGACACCCTCCGAAAGGAAAAAAAAAAACATGCACCGGGCGCATGGATTAGCCCTTCTGCGCGGCGAGGCGGACGATGGTCAGCTCGCGCATGCGGGCCAGAGCCTCGTTGACGCGCGCGTGCGGCACGCTGGTGTCGGTGACGCCCATGTCGTGGTCGCGCTCGAAGAAGCGCGTCAGCGGCTGCGTCGCCGTGGCGCACGAGTGGTAGTACGAGTACTGGGCCTTGGCCAGGGCCGAGAAGGACGGATCCAGGTAGGGAACGCGGGACTGCACAGTCCCCAGCCGCAGCCGGGGAGGCCACCATGGTCAGGTACCCGAGCAGAGGGGGCATGGAGGAAAGAGTGCGCAAGTGGAGGCAGAGAGAAAGGGGGGGGGGGCGCAAGGAAAAACACGCACGTCGATCAGGCGCGGCAGGTCCTCGACGAGCTCCTGGTTCAGGCGCTGGTACAGCTCCTTGGCGGCGTTGCAGTCGGCCTCGAGCCGGGGCAGGCGGGTGGCATCGGAGTCCGGCTTCTCGGCGGACCGGCGCACGCGCGCACGCAGCGAGTCATAATCCAGCATGGCGTTGCTGCGGTTCTTCATGTGGTCCTTCACCGAGGGGTAGAGGGAGATGAAACGCCCCAGCGGCTCGAGGAAGGTGGCGCGGATGCGCTGGTCGAAGTCCGCGCGAGCGCTCGTGTCGAGCTGGGTCTGCATCAGGGGAGGGGGGAGGGGGGGGGGGGGGAATGCCAAGAGTGGACGCACGGGTCAGAAGGCGGGATCCCGGTGACAGACGGCCACAGGGCCGGCGGGTGCGCCGTGCCGGCGCCCAGCCGAGGGAAGGCCTGGCCCGCCCGGGGCACGTACCATGGCATCGCGGAAGCGGATGCCACAAAGGGCCAGGGTGGCCTGCTCATCGTAGAAGGCGGTCATGGACTCGGCAATGCGCTGCTGCGCCAGGCTCATGGCGCGCAGGGCGTCCAGGTACTGCCGGGCCTCGGTCATCAACTTGTTGGTGTTCGACTCCAGCTGGAGGAACTGCGGACGGCGAAGCACACACACACACACACCGAGGAGCATGGCATCGCGGCGCGGGGCCAGGGGAACGGCGCAAGGGAGCGGTACAAAGGAGCGGCGCACGGGGAGTGGTCAGCGCAGGGGATGGCGTGGGGAAGGGGACACACGGGGGGCCGGGGAAGAGAAAAGGCGGGGGGGGGGGGGGGGGGGGGGAGACACGTACGCGGCGCTCCTCCTCGTCGTACTGACGATCGACGGTCTTGTCCACAGCACCGACCGACTGCAGCACGGCGGTCGACGCGCGGTTCATGGTCCGCTTGAAGCCGGAGAACGACATGATGAAACGTGGTGTGTGGCGGGGTTGGACGTGGGATCGGGGGAGGGGAGAGGGAGAGAGGGAGAAAGGGCGGCGAGGAAGTGGAGGGAGGCCGGGAGGAGGGGAGGGAAGAGGCGCAGAGGGGGGAAGGGGGGAGGGGTACGTTGTGTCCTGGCGCTTTGCCAGCCACCAGGGCGCGGGAGACGGGTCTCTTTTTTTCCCGGGCCCCGCCCACGACTAAGGGCCGAGTAAATGAAGGCACGGAGATGGGCAATTAACTGAGCACTCAAAACACGGCAACCCGCCCTGCGGGGACGGAACTAGGGGAAGCAACTATGCAGGGGGGCCGACGGCGGCGGCGGCGGCGGCAGCGGCGGCAGCGGCGAAGCCCATATCGCGTCCGGTCGTGGGGCGCGTCTGCCCCCCCCC